TATATATGCTACGTTCAAATTTGGAAAAACTTCGGCAGGCTGTTTATCGTAACGGACATAGTTTATTCGCTATTCCTAGTACTGGCTGACAGTTAGTTCTCTCTAGAACAAAACAAACCCTTTATAGCGAACAACGGTGCGGAATTTAAGTGAACTAAACAAGCCTTTACCCAAATAAAAAGCTGAATTTTGCCCGAAATCGACGGTATGCGTTACTTCTAGTTCTGAGAAAGTCCTTTATAAAGAAGACCAAAAGATAACCCTTAACAGAATTTATAAATAAAGGGTAAATCGGGTCAAAAAGTCACCGTCTTTGGTAAAGAAGAAAACTGCCGTTTGAGACAGAGGGATATAAATTGGCAATCGGTTAATCCGACGGTAATTCTTTCTGGAAACTTCTGCGCGTTTTTGAATCTTCTGAGCTTTTTGACAGCTTTGAACGTTTGCATTTTAAGGATTTTTAGCCTGTTATCAGCCCAAAATTGAGTTCCACTCGACTTTATTTCTCTGTAGCGTATTTGCATGACGTCTTACCTAGCTTATACCTACTAATATGGCTTAACGTACGGTGACCGTTAAAAGTTAATTGCTAATTAAGGAAGGAATATTTGAAAATGACTATTGAATAATTTAACTTTTTGACTGAAACTTTAATACGGGCGACGGGTAATTTACATAAATTTAAGTGTCAGAAATTACATCTTTAACTCATGTATCACTCGAACTCACGCGAATAGAGACAGAGCATGAACGAATTATTAATTTAGACACTCTACGTTATATACAACGTTATATATATACGATGATGACTTATTCAAATACACATAAGGACTCAAAAGCTATCGATGTAAATGAATAGATCTGACCATAATCGGTCACTTTTATAGTAATAAGCAAAAGGTCGCCCTAACAGGTATGCTTCGAGCTATTCTTAAAAAAAAAAGTTTCATCACATAAGTTAGCGTGTATAAACAGCAGTGCCTGGCATCGCTGTTGATTGTTAAAGACAGTCGTAAGTTTTTAGTATTGAGAATAGTCAACCACGTTTCTGACGATAGTTCTATACAGAACCAATAAAACATAAGGTTAAAATAAAAAAGATTAAATAAACATTTTCGCTTACGGGAAATGCAAGACTGTAAAATTTCTGACATATATAGCTAAGTTTTTTGATGAAATTGCTATCAGAATGCACTATGATGCTTAAATGAGAGAGGGGGCGAGGAGGTAATAAGATCGACTGTCTATCATTCAGCATCTAAGTTATATTGGGCTGTTAAGTAAAATTGTTACTACCTTCTGGTGGTGTTAATCGTCACCGATTTTGCAGTGGAAGAGTCGATATTGAAGTACCAATTGGTAGAGCTTCGTGCAGTCGCCGAATAAGCAAACACGCGGCTGCCGAGTCATGAGCCCAGTAAACAGTCGTAACGTAAGAGCTAATCACTATCTGCGATTTCATTGACCGTTGATACCAGCACGCACCTTCTCGCTTCCTGAGGCAGTTATCTATTTGAACTGTCCTCCGCAATGTTCTTTTCGGAACACTCGTTTTTTCATTGTCCCGCATAACAGAGCGTGCAAAGGACGAGTTCTCCCGCTTTAAGAGGTCTCGATCCTTTCCGTTCTTGCGAAAACTGTTCTTAGAGAAAGACAGAGAGAGAGTCTTACTGCGGAAGTTCTTCATGCCCATTGAGTTTTATTCTGGAGCAGGGGGGCCACCGACTGAAGTTATCTGCCTAGCTTACCACCAGCCTGTTCACTATTTGATTTTCCTGTTCGGCGTGACTGTGTCGGTGCGTGGGCGTATGCGACTCCTGTCGCACTTTTCCTACGGATTGTTAACGTTCTCTATATCGTCGTACTTTTGCTACAAGCGCAGACGTCGGGGCCTTTATTGACAGCCACCCATAGGGGAGGATGCAAAGACGGCGCATAGAGGACAGTGGGATGTTAAAATCGGGACGCCTATATGTCGTCACCCTGGGACCAGCTCGGAGGGAGACTCAACTAGCCTCGCCTGACCGAGAAGAAACGGGGACGACGACAACGATGGGGAGCTATAATTGACTTTGATGGCAACAATCAGCAAGTAATCCGCTTAGCTGCTTGCACATCCTCCGTCTTCCCTGTCTTGTTCGTCTTATACTGAGCACCGTGAGGAGGTGACGGCTGTACTAGAAGCACAGCAGTCCTAAACCTGCTATGAAGTAAGAACTGTAAAGTCTTGTTTCACGTTTATCAGCATCATTCCAATGTCCGTACAGAAGGAGCAAACATACTTCAGACAAATCAAACATTCTTCAATGAAGGACTTCAAGTCACAGAGGAGCACCATAAATGGGTGAACCATCCGTAGGATGAAAAAATCAGTAAAATTTGACAACTCCGTACACTGCAGTACCTTTTAAGACATAGATTAAGAATAACCTATATTGAATATATTTTCCGTGTATCATACTATTATTAACGTAAAGCAGCTTGCTAATAAATAGCCAAGCTGAAAATCTTCAGATTCTAAAATGCATTTCGTATATTGTTACATGAGTCGAAAATGAATATACAGAAGAAAATCATGTTAGGCCCTCCCAAGAGGAAAGAAGAAATGTGCTGCCTCTGTGGTGAAGTCTGGCAAGTTGTTCCTGATGTCTATTAGTTACTTTGGATTTTTGGATTCGTCGCAACAACAGATTTCTCACCTGCAGATTCGCACATGCGAGCTTTTGCTGAGCCAACTTTATGCGTATAGACTGTTCTGATGGGGAGCGTTACTTGGGAACGTGGGTGCATTTCAAAGTCCCGTTAGCAGACTATTCTCTGAATTAGGACACGACCGAATGACTGTAATGATACTCAGGCCGGTCGCTATGTACTGTTAATGTTGCTTTGAAGTAGACATTTCAAATGTCTAGTTACAATTGAATCCTGTTATCAATAGAAGCGATTTGTTGTTAAAGTTTACGTCCTTGTTTGTTCTTTATAGACATTGTTCCACAGCAAAGTACAGATGACATCTGTGATAGCCGTCATCATGACGATGCGAACAGAACTTGTTAAGGGGATGGGCAGATTGTATGCAATATAGACAAAGCAACAGCCTCTTATTGTGTGCTACAATGATGCTGCTGGAAGAGATAAATCAAAGCTGTTGTTGTTGTTGTCTATGTCTAAAGAGGAGGAGATTTGTTGCATACAATGTAACTGCCTCACCTGCTCAACGCCTGTTATACACCCAACATCCACTGCACCGCCAAATCGATGTCTTAACCGTTGTTTTGAGTTTTTGGTTGATGACAACTGTGTAGGACAGCTCGCCGTATACTGCCGAAGAGACAGAACAAACCGAAGCTGCAGGAACATGGGGCTCAGGCTCGATTGGAGGAGTCGTTCAAAACACATCATCGTCCATTTAACACAGCTGGTGCACCCTGGCTTCCAGATATCTCAGAGACAGTCGCAGAGATAGACAACACCTAGATTCAGCATCCCCAAAACAGACGTCTCCGCACAATATCAGTCGGGAGCGGCAGATAAACGTGCAGATCGCGACATCTCTGAACCAAAATTGGCCCCCACAACTAGATTTATCTTCTACGTAGTATGAGCGCAAGCCAGGCTACATGGCAGATGGTGTGTAAAAAACCTCGTTGAGAAGGCATCGTTTGGTAAGAAATCTATACGGAGCTAAGGTCGACGTTTGAAATGAAATAAAGCAATCAAAAAGGGTGTTCAGCTAGTTAGCACTACCATTGTCCTGTCTCAGTTATTTGTGCTATTTCGCTGTGTGAAAGTAAAGTGATACAAGCGTGTCATTTCCTGAATCCAACAAGACATTCACTGACCGTGAAAGAGGACAGGTACACCCGATAATTTTTTCTCAGAAAATATGCATGGTGTCGCTTAGTGACATTGACATGTTAGCAACGCGCCTATGAGCATGAGGGTCGTAAGAGAATGTCGGCCAACACCATTTGTGAAGAAGTGGTAATAAAAAGAGCTAATTCTAACAAATTGTTTATTGAACAGGCCATGGGGTAAGCCTGAGTGACGCCAAAACTAAACGCTGTAGTGGCTACGATTGAGTGAAATGGCCAGTAGGACAAATCGTATAAAGGCATAATTTCGAAAAGTTGCATAGAATGTTCATAGGTTGAAAGAAATCTAGTGTTAACCCTAATGCCAATCAGCCATAGCTTCAGTTGTATCCGTCTGTAACCTCGCTCAGCTTTAATGATTTATCGCACTAATGCAGATAAAAACGTCTCCAATGCAAATATCAGAACAGAGTATCTTGATATTTCCTTTTTAGGAGAGATAGCGCAAAAAAAATTGACCGCCACAGCCGTGCATTACCCGTCGTTAGACGTTTACGTCAAAGTAACAGTACTTCCCACAATGATCATCCTCGCATTTATTTGCTTCGCGATTTCATTACGTAGTTATAGAAGAATATGGACACTAGCTTATTTTCGGGCAAGGCTTGCGCAATAATGTCGCATATGCCGTTGTCGCTGATAGCGCAATGGTCGTCGGCTCAGAATCGTGGTGAGGTAGTGAGTCCAATTTAAGGTGAGTCATCATCGTCGTCGTCGAAGAAAAACCTCACGCCAATGTCAGACAAAGAGGTGTCGGTGTTCACTAATAATAGAAATAATAGTAATGGTGATCAGTGATGAAAAAGATCAGCAGTGTGAAGCAAAGTCCAAAGGCAGTAGCAGACGTAAAATTCGAAACTAACATGTATTACTACAAGTAGTGGGAAATCGTGTTAGAAAAGAAAAGTTCGAATAACAATAATAATACTAGGTCGGATAGCTGAGACGCCGCATTAACGTTAGGCAAGCAACTGATTGTTAAATGGTCAGGATGTTAGCACCCCCCCCAAAGCACCCTAGAAACAAAAAAGTATATAACAAGGCATGGTGTACGTAATGAGTGTAAAAAAATGTTGCACGCATTTAAAATGAAGATGTACCAAATCACAGTTAAAGATTTTAGGACGCAACCATGTAATATCCCAATAGGCACTGCGATCTGCTCTTTGTTTTGGAGCGGAAGCACCTTGAGGTTGTAAGCGGTGAATTTTATTTTGAACGGTAATTAAGGCAATGACTAGTTGTGGGATTTTGTCGGGATGACTAACGTAGCAACTTGACAATGCTTAAAGGCGTTTATCACAGATTTGCGCAATAACGACTCGGTACTTATATATAGTAGTATATATAATATAGTACTTAAAGTATCAGAGTCGGCTCGTGAGTTCAGATTGCAGGACCGACAATAAATATCTGTAAAATATATAGAACTGCATAATTGAGATGTCTTGAAAATATTTTTAAAGAGAAAAATGTCTATGACCTGGCTTAACCAATCCTTCAGCCTAAAAGGATTTATCCTAACACAGAGAGAACCTTGTAATATTCCCTGGCTCGAAGTATATGTATCAATAGAATAACAGCCCTGGTTTTGGTTCCCTCTCTCGAGCGGCTCCATGGAGTATGTGGTAAATACGAGACTAAATGCGCTCAAGGTGATAATAATATATGTCTGGAGAAGACAAGGATGCAAATCATTTTGTGAGTTGTCGCGTTACCTAAACCACATTTTGCGAAACTTGCATTATTAAGCCTTAGATTTTAGACTACTTAAGATTTCTACCACACAAACTACAAAGCTCCAATAAATGGAGTACAAAATCCCAAGTGGGTCTCAAAGTGTGACTTAGGCTATACGGATACTTTCTGTAGCTGAAAAAAACATCGTTCGTCTAGCAAAAAAATCTTTAGTCTTAAATATTCCCAGTAGAATGTCAACTGAACATCGGGGGTCTTGGTAAATATAACATTAATAAAACATCTATTTTCTATGAAGCAAGAGTAGACCGTAGTCGTCTTTTATTGTATTGTTATCGCTGGTATTCCGCATCCTTGCTAGAGCATCACTCAAAGCTCAAGTGAGCAGCGATAGCAATGATAAATAGTCATATCGCCACGCGTTGATCATAAATTAGATTAAATTAGCTCTTTTAATGGATTAGCGAAGAAAATCACTATTTATAACCCACTTCACTTGTTATCAATAGGATTGAATGGAATTGAATGTATTTATGATGCCCATTTCCAGGGGCACAATAGAAGTAACATTACCACAACGATTGTAATGTTATTACAGTCTATGCATGAATATTAAGCTACAGTAATTAGCGCTTATCTGTTTAGAATTTCGGCTACTTACGGAAGTCCTAAGAACAGCGAATAACTTTGGACTCATCCATTAAATTGTACTAGATCCATTAAATTGCTAGGGAAAATTGGATCTTACTAAGATCCAGTTTTCCCTAGCAACGCAAACCTTATATAAAAGTATACGAAGTTGTTCCAAATGTTTGGAAATTGAGATTGCTCCAAAAGCCAAAGTGATAGAAGTGACCCATGATAACTGAAGCTTTGAGAAGTCGTTCTGTTGATGCACTACATCCGCGAGGGGTACAAACATTGCCTTCGAGAACATGACGGAGACGCTTTGGGCTCCAGTCACCCTTTAGTCGATGCCCATGCGATGAAGAATGCCTTCGAGCCTCCTGTCATATAACACTATCTCAAAATCCGCCATAGCCCATGCTGCCAGCATTCTCATCATTCATTTGAGTATTCGCCGACTATATCATAGCTGCAGGACACACGGGATCTGATGCGGGCTGGCTGGCTGGCTGTCTTGCTGGTCTAGATGATACTGCCGTGGTCCGCAATAGCACTCCCCGGAGCCATCTAGTTGAGGGTCACCCTGAAACCCATTTTTTGCCTTTTCTATAGTCCTTCACCTCTGGCAACCTTGTTTCGCGACTACGGCCCATCGTTACTCACTATGTGCGGTGCGATTCTTGGTCCGATCCATTCTTTTCTCTCGAATAGATCGCACTCACTCCCAGCGAATCCCTCTTCCCAAACGACCGAAGGACGAGAGTATAGCAACCGTTCCTACAGCAACCAAGTGAGTCCTGCTACTACTGCTGCAGCTGTTCATGCTATAGCCACTGGCTTAGTCGCTACCTGTGCTAACAGCAAACGGAACAGTCGTTGTTGAGACACCATAAAGAGCGCATTCCCTCATGGTCCTACCAATCCCCTGGGATTCAGAGAACGACAATCTACGTACTCGTCCTCACACACATACACACCCAACAGTTACCATCACCGTATCGCCCTGCGCACGTCACAGAGCGATACGACGTTCCCATACAACACAACTATTCACAGCTGCCTCAACGTGTTAGAAATCGGAAAATATCACAGCTAGCGTAAAGTATAAATGTATGTATGTTAGTGGCATTGAATTGGACAATTTAATCGCATTTAAACATAACGTGAGAGTATCAGTTTGGCTAGAATTTTGACTCATTGACGTAAATGTCCGGAATACTGTTTAATAGTAGTTTTTACCATCACTTTTGATATGAATCGTTTAGGTGTAGCTAGGAATTGGGGTAGTATGATAGCTGGTGTATTCATAACTTACGCAACGACGGCAGTAATAAAACATCTTAACTTGTAAAAGACATAAGCATGTTGTCAACCTTTCGCAATAAACTATGGGGTTAAGCTATTTTAAAAATGGCTGCATCACAGGACAATCCGTGTTTCTATTTTACCGATTCGTTCTCCTTGAAAATCGTACATTTATTTTCACCCATTCGCGATACGATTATGTAGGTAGATCAAATTATATTGTCTCAAATATTGTAGGTTTTTTTTTTTATAGCTAGAGTCGACGCAATGTCACAACTACTGATTGGAACAATATCAATCGTGAGCTCTCCCCTTCCCTGATGTCAGAAGAACGATCCCGTGAAGTAAGAACACTCTCGCGGGCTCTTTATCGCCAATTCCAACCTGTTTTAGCGAACCCTGAAAGCTGCTGACCAGGCAGGAAATCCTCGGCTTAACTAACGCTGAAAGTTTGCCGTCGCTTTTTAGCCTTAGGCGGTGTGAAAAAACACACGACTAATATTTTATATTTAACTGGCTTTTATTGATTACCACTCAACAGTGTGCCATCACTTTTTGTATGTTCATGTTTCGCATGTCTGATGCAACTGTGTCTGTATGTATATTTAATTCTATTTATAATAATCCTCTTTATTCGGTTCTCTTCAAGTGAATACCTAGCGTTGACAATGTTCGCTCAACAAAAACACTCTGAAATTCTTTTCTTAGGTTGTCAGGTCGGCGGCGACACAGCGGTTAACGAGAGAGGGACTTCGGTTTGAGAGATGAGGCTCAGTGGTCGACAAGTTCAGAGAGCAGCAGAACCGTAGTTAACGGTACGGCGATGGAAAATGTCGTTAGGATCAAATAATGATCAGGATCGGGTGCGTTTCCAGCGGAGATTTTCATGATGTGAAAGGAGGTGCTTGCGGCTGTGAAGATGGTCTCCTCGCTCACGAATTGAATTGGCTGTGAGTACACAACGGTGCACCGAATCTTTAAACGCATCGATGTGACAAATTTTTCTTCGAGAGTCATCCTCAGTCTTGACGTGTACGTCTTCTGACGTCCGGTCCGCGCCATTGATAGATGGACTGTCATATTTCGAGTGGTCTCCTCATCGTTGACCGTCCACTCAAAGTATGCCTCGTTCGAATCTTGTACCCGTGTTGTACAGTTCCACTCAACTGATGTGCGGGCCTTATCGTAAATGTTGAGCATTTCTTCACCGCTGATTCGCGGCCCATCGGGATCGACCACAAGCGTGCGATTCAAATAGGGATGGTATGTGATTTCATCGAACTTTTCGGACAAGTTCTTGTAGATGGTAGAGACGCACTGAAGTTTGATGATCTTATTGCGCAAATCCTCCGACGTAATTGGCATCCTGAGATTCAGACCAACGGCCTGTACGCCCATGCCCATACCGAGGCTCAAACTGTCAGCCATGGGACTTAAGCTGACTTGCGTTTTGCCAGTCAGTTTACTTGGAGCGCGCTTTCCGTTGACGTACCATTTCAGGCGTGGCGGTGGTTTTGAGGGAGCCGACCTACAGGTGACATTGATTGTGTCACCTAGATCATAACGCTTTTTAAGCCCTTCGATGACAGGGCCGCCACTTGGCATTACGTAAGTGACAACGTCACTTTCAAGCAAAACTGTCTTATAGGTCCCCTCAGCGGAAACCTCGCAACTGTATGTACCCTCTGTGCGCACATCAGAGCGCACGAGTGTGACCATACTCTCATTCGAGTGTGTCAAGTCAACGTCAACACCAGGTACATTAAATGTCGTAGGGCTAGGGGCATTTCCCGGACAGTAACGATAAAACTCTGAATTGTCCTTGTACCATTTTACACAGTAGAGTGCCTCGCCTTCGAGGTCGAATCGGCACCACATCACAAGGGGCTGCCCCGCTAGAATGGCGCCCGGAACGTGGAGGCTTGCATCGCGAATGCAGCTGACACCTATACGTGCGAAACAAATAAATACGATATTAAAAGATGGCCGAAAAAATGGTTACGCAAATGTGATTTGTAAATGACTGCTCATGCAAAACTAATAACAAACAACAACAATGTACTCAAGATACATATAAGTATAGGAGGCTTAGCGAATGTTTAATATAATGACAAATTCATGTTGAAATGTGCTGTGATTTTATGATCAGCACAGATCTGTAGCATTTCGGCAGATTCTGCCTCTATACAAACAGAAGCGCGCCGTCTCCTACACCATGTCCGATTACGTGCATTGTAAATTTTTGATAATTAGTTTACACTTTGCTATTTTGAATTTTGAGGGTTTCTATTTGAATCTGTTAACGGGGTTCTATATGAGCTTGCTGTATACATATAATAATGGGTGATCGAAAAAGTATTGACGGCTCATATATTAAAACCAGAGCAAGCATTTTTTGCATTTCAAAATAACAGTACTAAGCTAAATATGCGTCATTTTAATGGATAACCTCCTGCCATTTTCCTGCTAACAGGCTTATCCTATTGGTGTAGAACTTCGCGATTTCTGGGCGAAAAATTATGACTAGTGATTTTTCCATCCTTTCATTGAAATCAACATCATTGAAAGTTTTGCAAAGATCGAACCAGATAATAGTTTAATGGTACAAGATCCGCGACTGGTCGACCATTGTGAGGAGCATTTTTTATATCAAAATTTTCAGGATGGAAGTAGCCGGACCACCTTTGGCTTATTTCATCCGATAAAGCTCCTTGACCATAAACGTTTTTTTATGGGCTTGGGAACATTTGTGCCCTTGACGGAATAAATTGCAATCTTTTTACAATGTTTTGCAGAGATTTTATTTTAAAGACGCCTCTATTTCAGGTTTGAATAATTCCATTCCAACCAATTTATCGTGTCGATTGCCGAATCATAGCCTTCAAATGATACCAACGCGACTAATATTATTTGTAGCATGTTATTTTAAAGCTATTGAACTAGGAAAAAGGTCAATACCTTTTTCGACGGCCCTGTAGACGGAGAGCTGTGTTTTGTATACTGCTTGTTTTTTTTTTAATTAAATATAATTCTATGAACGATCAGTTCTGTTTACTCCTTATATATATATTATTGACATATATGTGGGGTATAGGCTTGGAATTTATATAT